ACAGTTGCTTTTCCAGGAAGCCTGTTGAAATGTTGTCTTGGAATGCCATCAGGAACGTCGATATATTTATCTCATCAATTCTTGTTATACACAGCTCCGGGTATGTCTTGCATTGATTCTCAAACATCATTCGGACGTTGCAACATTACAGACATAACTCGCCGCAACTTTTTTATTGTGCATTTCAGAGTTTAAAAGATTATTCACAGTTTTATGTGAGAAATAATATTCCACTTCAGAAGGTCAACGTGTCTTGTAAAATATCCTTCTCCTTGAACAAGCTTTCACAGTTAATGTGTATGATGATGTTATGACGAATCTGGTTTACCAGCTTCTTACAGTAAATGGTAGAATTTAGGGTAGTATGGTCATGCTCGTAAACTGGCATACCTAACGTAACACCATATAATTTCGGAACAAGCATTTATATAATGTCATCCAGAAACTGCCTTAAAAGCTGCACTGTCCTTAACTGCAAGGCTTCTTTTAAAAAATTATTTGATAAAGCTTACCCTTTAGGATCACTTTACAGCATGCACTACCGGTGAGCAAATCTGTTTGGTTTTGTTGGTAGACATTTAAATTAAATTATGCGCCACAGATACTACCATCCTTGCGAAAATTGCTTCCAAAACGACAATAGCCAGAAAAACAATTACTTAACTACGAAATATAAAAAGGATATATTTCAAACAGAAGACTTCAAGGTCCGTCATGGAAAATACTTTGTACTTGAGAGTTAGAAAATTCAACATGAAGGTCATACACAAGTTGACTAATGTTCTGCACTAGCTACTACATGTGAACTATTAAAATCATTTCATTTGTTTAAAAGCCATCTAAGTAGGAGTGCATATTATGGAAGTGACTGACCTATGAGTTCACTACTTGCACAGCCCAAACATTTTTGGACATAATTCCAGAAAAGTATCACAAGTGAGAGATATTCTAGGTTTCATTTTTAATAACTCCCTTAACTGAGAATCAAAAACATTTTACAAGACATTCGTATGACCAGTCGATGAACACTGTTCAGCCATATTTTCCGACGAATGCCGATACGATTCGCTGAAGATTAAAGGGATACTTGGGAATTTCACTCATAAAATACCAACAAATGACTCACTCGTAGGCCATCCCATTCAATATCATGAACCTGGACCTGTACCACTCCGAAAAATGCTCCAATTGTTAACCTAAATGCACAACCCTTTACATTAAATTTGGTTGAATTTGTAACAATCTGATCTTGCCTGTTAACTGACATGCCTCGTGTGTCAAATCGCTACTTGAGAACAAATATTATTGATATTAATAGACTTCCATCTGCGATCTACCAAGTTCACGGTCCTTCTACAGCGCGAAAATATTTCATGACCTAGAAATTAATATTAGTTACTCAACATGTGACTTTGGAGTCATTTTGATCGCTTTATTAACTCTATTATTTTCACAGAAATTTTCGGCCTTCAACAGACAAGTCTTGTTTTCATATTCTCCTAGTACTACGCGTTTGATTGGGTAGAGATTAACTATAATCACCACCAAATACTAATGACGAACCCATCACTAGGAAGACAAATAAATCCTGGTAAAGAATGTATTTACTGGTGGTTTCTTGGTATCGAAAGAATACCGAAATCTCACCAGAAAAGATGGCGAAATTACGGAGATGAGGGCGGAAACAATGGCAGTAACGCAAACAGAAAGTCTATGCATAAATAGTGTTATGAACACATGGTACAATTAAACGCTCACTGGTACAGTTGGTTATAATAATGAATGCTTCTATTGAATAAATAGCATTCCCTTCATAAAAGTGTATTCACTACACATGTCTATCACCTACTATTTTATCCAGTGCTTGTATTTTTCCTCACCTCACATCATGTACTTTCAGCTTAATTTGCGTTTGTAATCAGTCGCGTAGTAGAGTTGACGCGCGTAGCCTCTCCGTTTCACATCTTCCCGCTGCTTCTCATTTCTGCTGTCTATCAGAATAACAGAGTTTATGATGTGAACTTATCCAACGTAATCCATGTTCAGCTGCTTACTACCAGTGACACACAAGCGAGGCTGGTTCAAGTGTACTATTAAGTTGAGGACATAATTTCATGACATATTTAATCGTTCCTCCGAACCGCAGTCACATACAGAGTAACTAAAGATTGACCGATCTTTGAAGGTTGACGACCAGCACAGCTTATGTACCCCTTTATTTTTGTATGTACCCAAAACTAAACTGTATGAACTAGAAAATCTTGTAAGGCAAGTACTATACCGACTTCAAATGAATAAAAATAGTTTTAAAGTGTGTAAATGGTTAGCGTACACCCATTTTGCAAATTGTTTTTGTAATTATTTTCTAAATGTCCACTTAATTTGAACAATCACTAAAATATATTAGTTTACATTTAACCTTTACTTTCTGCCACCACTTTGGTGCTGTGTACATAAGTTTTTTGTTGCCGTAATAACAGATTTCTAATACAGTTGTTACCTTCGTTTGCAAGTCATGTTGGTAAACTCGTCATGCAACAATTCAAGATCCACATTGTGCGGGATTAAATATATGTATCTATCATACTGGTAATTATTAACTTCTTAAAACTGTGGGTTACGTGACCAAATATTGGAGCATGTCCCCCTAGGACACCTTCAATGTCGACCATCACTTTTCGTGTTCATTTATTTTTTGTATATAATTTTTTGTCTCCATACATACTGCGATAACTTTGTGACTATTTTGGTGTTGCCACTGTCATCCAACTGTATAAACGTTCATACATTTGTAGTGGAACGCTTCTACGAAGAAAATGCGATTTTTGAAATGTAAACATTATTGTACTCGCTTTGTTTAACTGTACCAAAAACACTTCTACTACTTCTTGCGCGCAACGTTCTCTTCGCGTTGCCGCCATGTTTCTCTATTTGCTGCTCCCTACGTAATGCCAACGTTCTCCCTAAATAAAACCATGGAGTATTGATTTATTTTGTTCTGCTTTTCGTCACGCGACCGCATGGAACATTTAGTGGTGAGCATCGTCAATCTGGTATCTGGATTCTCTCACTAAACATTTTTGGTAATAGACACTCAAAAACATTGAAATGTTTGTGATTAAACCCAGCTTATACTTTAGGATTTAGTCGGATACTACAAGAGGGAATAATATGTATCTAAACATTTATATTCACCATATTTACACACTTTGTTCATTATTCAACGTTCTCAGTCCAGTTCGAAATAGTAGGAATGAGTTCATCTTGACTTCTAGTTTTGCCACGGTCCAGGAATATTTCATCGAAACCATAATAATTTCAGAATTACTACCAGAAATTATTGTCTGACGGCTCTGACCATTTCGAATAAAGCAACTGTATTACTGGAGTCACATTAACTTTCAACTAAATGACAATACGCTATTCTCTCTCCAGTCTTCAAAGGAGGAGATAGAAAGGACCCAGCCTGTTACAGACCAGTAGCATTACTACCAGTAATATCAAAGGTAATGGATGGGCTGGTGAACGAACAAATGAGGGAGTACATGGATAAGAGTAAAATACTCCATGAAGCTCAACACAGGTTTCGGAAGGGCAGGTCGTGCACATACAATATCCTAATTGCATGGGGAAGTTAGACATCCTGCATGGACCAGTACAAGTAATCGTTCTCGACTTTGCAAAAGCCTTCGACACTGTGCCCCACACAAGCCTAATCGCAAAGGTTGTAGAAATGGACCTCACTGACCCACTCCTATTTCGCCTTAGAAACTACCTTGAGAATAGAAAGTTTTGCTTAAAGGTAAACAGAGTGAACTCAAGTTAGCGAGTCTCAACATCGGGAGTTTCACAGGAGAACATCTGAGGTCCACTTCTCCTCCTGATATTTATTAACTACTTGTTAGACACAGTCAGCTCGCCGGCACTGATCTACTCAGACAATGCGAAGGTCTGGAGGTCCATTCGAAGCCAAGAGGATTCGACTTAGCTCCAAAATGACCTTACATCTAATGAGGAATGGACAGTGAAAAACGGTTTAAAACTAAACCAGTCGAAACACCAGGTTCTTTTCCATATGACACAAACGCCTTAAACCCTAAATGGAAGTCCATCGCCTATTTTCTCCTCAAAGTTTAATAACCACTGAAAACCTTCACGCCAGTTCGAACTATATAGGGGACACAGCCAAGGCTAATGCAACTCTTCATTTTATGCGAAAACAACTTGTGGCTATCACCCCACTGTTATTCTTAACAATGTTTAGGACAAAACTTGAGGTTCACAACGTCGTCGCATCCCCTTTGCCTAAAAGAGACACAAATCTCTTGAATCGAGTGCAGAGACGTGCAACGGAATGGGTGATATGGTTGAAGAATAAACCTTACGAAGATAGACTCCAGCACTTAGGATTATTCCCACTGAGTAACAGTAGGATTAGATGTGATCTGACTATGACGTACAATCACGCCAAACCTTCCTGAAATGAGCATCTTACCGATGCATCGTTACCAACCCCCTCAAGGGAATCTTTGAAAAATTGCACATCGAAGAGCAAATACTCAGGTTTGTGCACACTTTTTATCATTACCAGTCGTCACAAATTGGCATGTCCTCCCGGCCGAGGTGACCACAGCCCCCTCAGCAGACAGCTTTAAGATTAGACTTGATGAACACCCACTCACATACAGATTGTCATCTCACTCGTGGACCAGCTGTGCCAGATGCATACCTTGAGACCTACTAGTTGTTATCATTGCCATCTCCTCGGGTCACTCAATTAATCTATCTCGCCTATTATTTCTCTTTCCTCTCCCTTGTTTACACAAACAAACGTTTTCATTGAAATCACGGGACATGCAAACTCACAACCAACTGCCAACTGACTAGAGTTAAACAATCAAGTGGCAAGACACTATTCATTGGAAGCTACCAAACACCTAGAACCGTACTGAAATAACAAGAATTCAGCGCAAAGGAATCAACTGGTTTATACTACTTCGTGAAAACGATATTGGATATTGACCTGTACTTCGGCGGAGAGCGGGCTTGACAACGGTTGGGTTTTCTTCCAACTATCCATTCAACAATAGTGTAGTTAGTCAGCCGATTTAATAATTTATTTTTCATTTTTGAGCTGAACTTTATTAACGGTTATTATGTCTTAGTATAACGGCTTTTCGCACCTCAACTCTAACAAAAATCTTGGGACGAATGTTTGGTGCATTTCCTTTATGCTGCAAAGTATTTTAGTCAGAAACATCTCCTTACACTTATCCAAACTGCAAAAAGCTTAGATATGCCCATACTGTTAAGATTAGGTTGCTTATTGAGTCAATCAACAAGATATACTAAGGTTTAAGTAATCTCTTTTCATTTATCTGTATAATGATTCCAAGCTTACCCCTTCAAAACGACCATATTGGTATGTTTTACGGGGATAAATCTCGGTTTCGGCCTGTTAACACTTATTTCGTAAAGTTAACATCTAGATACATTCAGTTGAGTTTCATTCCGTAGTAAACTTCAGTAGTTCGACTTCTTACGGCATTTTTGGTTAGTCAGACCACGATGTCCAGATGCATGAATTGCTTTACGTAGGTTTAACTAAAACCAGAAAAAGAGGATGTGTTCAACAATATCACCAACCGTGTGTTTCAAACAATACATGTGAACTCTTCCACCCATAATTATCTTCCAAATCCTACTACAGAGTTATTTCGACACCTACACAAACTAATGATAAATATTGTGACATAATAACTCAACAGATTAGAGTTGTCGATGGAATTCCCTGTGAAATCATGAGGGTAAACTTCCAATTAATACATTAGATTTTGAATATGTTGAAGACGATTTGCATTGTGCTGCTATCTATAAGCTTCCGATCATTTGGAAATCCCAAAGAATGTTTGTCACAATACATTTCTTCAATAACAGCATGCCAAGGTGAATTTCCTCAACAAGTTACAGTTTTCCGTATAAACTTCCAGCCACAATAAATTTCGAGTAAAATCTGTAGGGAAATTCAAGTCTGGTGAGAATTTGAGATTGCTGTCAATCTCCCTCAAATTCAGTCAGTCAGTTACAACGTAGAACTTCGTACGTGCGTACATAAAATCAAGTTACCGTACCACATTATATTTCTTCACACCAAGCCATCAGCACTGATGAGACCTCCCAAGATAAATGAATTGATCTACACGCTTGACTACTTCACTCCCTATCACTAGTTCAGTTACCGATGCAACCCAATCATAAAGTAATATTTTGCATTTCGACAATGAGAATCGCCTCCCAAACATGCTTTCATTGTTGCTTATGATAGTCAGAAGACTCAGCATTTTGTCAACGTCTTCACCAAGTAGAACTATGTCATCGGCATATTCTAAATCAACCAGTGAATCTCCTGTTAGAAGTTCCATTCCTGAAAAGTCAGACGAAGATAATGTTATTTTTAAAAACAGTCAGTCAGTCAACAGCAACATAGAACTTTGTACGAACGTACATCAGTTCGAGTTACCATACTACACATTAGCACAGACATGCAGTAGTCACTTCAAATCCCATAGTAGTAGAGGTAGTAGCAGTATTAGCAGTAGTCTGGAATTTTAGGGTCTTACGACATTATTCAAGAAGTAGGATCTAGTGAAATATTTCTAAAAACATATCTGTGACAAAGCTAAACAAGAGTGGAGCGTCGAAGTATTATCGATTCCAACATTTTGGACATTATATAGGTTTAACTGAGTCCTATGTGATTGTCACAAGAGGACTTTTGCCCCTTTTCACACATTACAACAATAACAGATTGAGGCCAATCAGATGGGATTCCGCCTGGTTCCCGGTGTGCTGTTACATGTATGAGGGCTTATGTCACTTCTCGGCTGCTTACACCATGGAAGGGCTCTGGTTGTCAGAAGGGATATCGGCTTCGTGACTTCCGAAGGAACTCGGCTTCCATCACGAGATATAATAACTCTTCTGAAGACCTAACAACCAGCGCAGAGTAAAAAGCTCCTTAACTACACCTGGGTGTGTCAAATGAGTGAATAGTCTGTAAGGTAATAATAATATATGAAGAGTCTCAAATAAGCTATTCCTGCTATGGTGAATGATCTCAGATTTCTTACGAAGTGTAACGTTCCTCATCATGGTTTAGGAAATTGCCCCCTGTTGTCGAACAACGTCTTATATTATTGTTCTGTGTTCTAAAATTATGCGTCAATATGTGGTTTGTTTGAAATAGAGAATTTTAGCTTCCAATTGTCAACTGATCTGTACACCGATTTGAGTATCATAATGTAATCTACCGGTTTTTAGGGCCCCTAACTACCTAATGAGCCATTCCTTTAATGATTAGCGAATACAGCATTTCAACAGTACCTAGTGTAAACGAAAATGGTTTCTTCATTGCTTTTATTTTACAGTTTTTTGTGTGTAATTATTCGATAAGTTTTTGCCTCTTCCCGTTTAGTTCCAATGGATGTTGAATCATCAGATGTCGGACAGGTGTTGGTTGAGCAATACAAAAATCAAGGAAATTCATGTTATAAACAAGGCATGTACAATGAAGCGATTACATGGTACACAAAAGGCATAGATATCGATAGTGCTAATGTGCTTCTGTACAATAACCGTTCCGCCGCTTACCTGATGATTAATAAACCTCTTGATGCCTATAAGGATGCTAGCAGGTTTTGTTTTCCTTCATTTTTGATGAACGATTTGCTTTACAGAAGCATAAGTTTGGATTCCCAAAATGTAAAGTCGATACTACGCTGTGTAAAATGTTGTCTTGTTTTGGGTGATTTAAATGAAGCTAAACGTCTTTGCTCAATCATTAAACAGTTAGAACCAACTAATATGGAATTTTCTTCATTGGTAGTGATTCACTGAGCGTTTACTAACAGAATTTTTTTAGCTACAAAAAATTGAACTACTTTCAGAAACTCACCGGTCGTACGAAGATAAATTATCCGCTTCTGACTTCCGACACGTAAAGTTTTCTTCATAATATTAACATTTCTTGTAATAGGCTCTTCATCTAATCACAAAGTGTATTGAATTAGCTCCAGCTTCATTAAGTTTCAATTTAGAAAAGGTGAACGTCCTTATTCAATTAAAACGATTCACAGAAGCCAAGAGTTTGGTTGAGTAAGCTTCTGTAATGCAATTAATATTCCTTTCTGAGTATAGAAACTTATTAAATTCCCATTCTTCATCAGTCGATCTACTTTTTTATCGAGGGCTGTGCTTGTACTATTTGGATCATTTAGATAAAGCAATTACTCATTTTCAACATGTTCTTCGCCTTCATCCAGACCATATAGAAACTCAGAAAGCGTACAAACGTGCCAAAAATCTCTTGAAGTTTAAGGAAGAGGGAAACACATTTATCCATGGTCACAAATATTGTCAAGCACTTGAGGCCTATACAAAAGCTTTGGAAGTAGATCCTTTACATGATATGATCAATGCAAAACTGTATTGTAACCGTGCTTGTGCCCTATTTTATGTAAGTTTTTATAGCGAATTTTTCAATCCCCACATAGCTTGATCGTTTCAATGAAGCGCTAAGCGATTGTGATAACGCAATTTCATTGGATCCAAACTATTTAAAGGCTCGGATTCGACGGGCTAAGTGGTAAGTCAGGCTTATTTTTTCTTTTAATATTCCTGTAGTATTTAGTTAGTCAGTTACGAGGCCTTCGTTCATGCTATTAAACCGTCCATTTAATCACTCAACGTCTCGTTAACTTTCCAAATAATATTAAATAAACTTGGTCTTGTTTCCCAACATTATCTTGCTATGTAATTGTGAATTGTGCTGTCTTATATCGCCCTTCAATCGAAAATATTAGATAAGATGTAGTTCTTTATAAAGATGCAGAACATTACTATCTTAATGACTGTTCCCTTAGCAAACCATGTACTTCTTTAGTCTTTATTAGAATGCAGGTTATATTAATCGAATGTACAGTATCATTTGCTTAGTTAGTTCATGCATCTATCAGTAAATACTAAGTAGCATCTTTACGCTTTCGTAGCATCTTATCTTTGATAATTGCTCCCCATTTCTCCGAGTGTCGATTTGAGTTTAGTTTCTCCAAACTTATAGTATGACTTGTGGCTAGTAAATAAAATGATACATAAATACTGGTTCGTGTTACTTAATTATTATATTATGTATTGTGATCACGCTTAACAATTCATTTCCACTAGTTCGAGTGCTTTCTAACCTACTGTTATTGACAACTATCAAGTACCATTAGATTTCTTCTTTTTAATCTTTGACAGTATGTCTTATTGCTTGAACTAGTAAATACGGAAAGATGAGTTATTGAGTCCACTGTTTATATACTTAAAGGCTTATCTGTAGAAACCACTATTGAAAAAAGCTAGGGGCGGCCCAACCAAAACATGGCACTAATCCACGAAGTAACTGACTTCTATGGTGTAAACAGCCGAGAAGTGACATCTGCCCTCATAACCATAACAGCACACGAGACCAAACCGGTAGCAATCAAATCCTTCCTACTCCTCTTAATAAATCTCTCTTCTGCACCATCAAACCTTCTTGCATTCCTTTGCCACATCGCGCCGCTGATGCAAACGTTTGGGGTTCACAAAACGTTATTCCTGGTCTCTTGAAACCCCGCTCAAAACTACATATTGGAGCTTTTAATATTCGAACATTGTGTCAAATAGGGAAACAGGCCTCGTTACCTAAGACTTTAGGATCTCGCGCCATAGATGTATGCTGCGTCTGCGAAACGCGCACACAGGATCCTATTAAGATCATTAATTTGATTTTCACCTTGTCAAAATAAAGGAGCAGCTCGATTTACTCTTCGTGTATCTGGAAGTCCTGATGCTGCTTCCCGGGGTCTCGCTGGCGTAGGTATAGCATTGAGTCCTAGAGCAGAACTAGCTGTCTTAGACTGGATTCCAGTATATAGTCGATTGTACGCTATCCGACTTAATGGGACAATAAGGACTCGTAAAGATGGGGAGACTAAGTGAAAAGGAAAGACGTCTGGGTGGATCTTATGGTGTCGCGACTCAAAGAACAGATAATGGCGACCGTCTGATGCAACTATGCTTTGATAACCGCCTATTTCTAGAAAACACTAACGTTAGGCATAATGAAAAACATCTCGACCTGGCGACCCCCAAAGTCGTCCCAACTTTGGACCCAACTAGATCACATCGTCATCAGCCACCGACGGAGGGGTTCGATAGAGGACTGTCGCTCGTTCTGGGGCACATGTTTAGATTCAGATCATGCCCTAGTGCGAACGCGTATTTGTTTGAGGCTTACTGGACGTAGGAAAGTTATCGCAAGGAAACCTCTTAGGGTTTTACTTAATGATAATAAAGCTACGAATATATTCCAGTAACAACTAGAAAGACAGTTAGGCGACCATGTAATGATCCCCATCCGGAGGCAGGTTGGAACGATATCAAAAAGGCTGTGGAAACAGCAGTGATATCTGCTAGTATGGTAAACCATAAGGCTAGGAAAAAGCCGTAGATCTCAGTACCATCCACCTTACTGAAAGACCCTCGTAAACCCATCCCACCTGACTTTGAACATGACGAAGCGCGAGGCGTAGGCTGATAAAAAGGCCTACTCGATGATTGCTAACGGTGGTGAGTAACGAAGGCAAGAGCAATGTAAATGGCAGCGGCGATAGGCGAAAGCAGACAGTTGTTCCGACTTATCAAGGAAAGCGGTATTAGAAATCCATATGTTAGCGAAACTATCTCAGAAACGGATGGTCTTATTATTCATTCTCAATCCAGGAGATTGGATCGATGGGCAGAACACTAAAGGGATCATTTCAGCTGACCTTCAGCATCACTTCGGTTGCTCACGATCTCCAGTCATCCTGAGAGGCAAATCGACGTAAGCATTCCGGCGTTTGACTCTCTTGCTCGTGAATTTCTATGACAGCGTTGTGTGTCAGTGGATGGAGTACTACAGAAGTACATTAACCTTATTCAGGCTTTCTACCGGAACACTACTAGCCAAATCAGAGCTTATGGCGAACCGTCATCAGAATCGATAACCTCAAGTGGTGTTTGTCATGACTGTCCGCTTCCTCCATTCATGTTGACGTGCTTTCAGATACGACACTTTCATCATCTTACTTTTCATTAGTTGATCTTGTGCCAGGGGATTCACTTCTCGACTTAGAATATGCCTCCGACACAGTTCTGTTTGGTGAAGATGCTGACAAAATACAGTCTTCTGAACACCTCAGGCAAGTGCAGGCATGTTCGGGATGCGGTTTTCCCCCTCGAAGTGCGAAATGTTGCTTCGGGATCTGGTTGCATCGGCACCTGAACTAGTGATAAAGAGTGAAGTAGTTGAGCATGTTGACTGCTCCACTTATTTTGGGAGTCTCATCAGTGCTGGTGACCTGGTGTCTGACGAAATCTCAACACGGATGCAGAAGGCCTGACTGGCTTTTTTAAACCTGCGTCACTCATGGCGTCCGCCAAATATCCGTTCGCTAACCAAAAGATGAGTGTATTGCTGAGCAGTTCGCTCTGCCTCACTGTAAGGATATGAAATATGGCTGGTAAGAGTTAAGGATATTCGTAGGTTGTTAGTATTCGATCATAGGTGTCTTCGAATAATTGCTTGTATATCCTGGAACAATTGAATAAGCAATGCAGTTGTTAGGAAACGAGTTCTGGGTAACGATGACAGACCAGTTGATGAAGTATTGAGAAGTGTGATTGGGACATCTGCTACGACTCCCTAACCACCGCCTGCCTCAATGAGCGGTGTTTTGTGGCGTAGAGGTAGGGTGGAAGAAAGCTAGCGGCGGCTTATATCCATGAAGTCACTGAAAACTGGACTGAGCCATCGTGGTACGTTTAGACTGCCTAGTTGGGGTCCTCGAGATGATAGTAATCGATGGTTAGAGACCCTGAATTACATGACTCAAAATCGTGTGCAATGGCACAGGTGCATCCACTCTTTAAGTTCTCCCAAATTCTAATCTGAATTCCTCATCACCTCTATCTTTCTCTCTTTTAAATTTATTTAACTAAATTATACTTCTTGAATAATTTCTTCTCCATTCTCTCTAATACTTCTACTTTCTCTACCGCTATGAGATATAAACTGACAATTGCGTCTCTGTGCCGTGGTATGGCAACGTAAACGTACGTGCAGAGTTCTGCATTCTAGCTGACTGACTCGAATTTCTCACATCCACTTAGATCTCCTAAACACTGTTTAAGCTGATGTTTAGCAGAGTAAATATTGTGTAGCTCACCAATAATTTCTTAATCCATGTTTATGGTTTCCAGTTATATTTATTAGTTAATGGTAAAAGGATCTGTTTTGATAAATTACATTCAATTTCTAATTCACACTGGTAAAAACTTAAGTTTTCAAAAATTTAAAACCGTTAGTCCCTTTCATAAATTTTGATAAAACAATGAGAAGACGGATTTGATCTGAAAAATGTGATACATTTGCGCTATACATTTAGCACAATCTGGTCACGCCTATACTTGTCAAATGCGTCGTATTTTTCAGATCAATTACATCTACTCATTGTTCTATCATGAAGAATTTCGTATGGCATCGGGGTGATAGACTAAATACTATTGCTAAAGTCTGAAATTATTAGAAGCAGTCATCGGAATTTCTAACCTCAGGTGCAGTTTGTCGAGATACCCTACTGTGTTCATTCTTTATTCAACTTTATAAATGTTTTCCTAAAATTCAAACTTTCTAAGTGTAACAGTAGTATTTTACAGTTCATTTAATAAAAACGATATTTGGAAGCACCAAATTGTAGAAATGGTCTACTTGAATCCAGCTTAATTTTAAATAATTTATTTAGTGTTTCTTTTGTCGTTTCACTGCCAATATCTATATCTGAATTTATTGACTAAAATTCTAATTCGTAATAAATTTCCGTTTATTTCATGTTTCATTGTTACTTAGGCTTAGTTGCTCATATATTTTCCACGTGTTTGATTCATTATTATGATTATTACCTTGTCTTTGTTTGGTAGATCAGTCAGTCATTTACAACATAAAACTTCGTACGTATGTACATCAGTTCAAGTTGCCATGCCATATTAGATTGTGGATTATAATACTTTTATTTCATAGAAATGATCACTTACTTTAAAAAACATAATGGTAGTTTATTTTTTTTAATATAACTATTGTTTATACAGTTATTCATCTCTTGAAGAATATGAAAAAGCCGTGGAAGAATGGACTGCAGTTGTAAAATTAGATGGATCAAGAGAAAATAAAAAATGTTTACAAGCTGCTAAATCTGCTCTTTCCAAGTCTCAACAACGTGATTACTATAAAATACTTGGTTTAAAAAAGAATGCTTCTTCGGATGATATAAAACAAGCGTATAAAAAAAGTGCACTTTTATATCATCCAGGTATGAGATTTTCCATTGCCAAATTCATGTTTATTATTTAATTTATGCAACATACGAGATATTGTTTTAGACTATTCTGTGATAATACATTTGTCTACTTTAATTGATGTTGTACATCGTGAATATTCGTTTCCATACTGTGTAGTCAATAAATTAGCTTAAATAACATGGTAATACTGAATAACTTCAGATACATCTTACTAATTTTTACTTACTATTTGTTCAAACTAATTTTACCAAGGCAAACTAAAAAAGTTAACTTATTTTCTGTCGTCGACTGACTTCGATGAATTTATGGAATCGCACGAGCTGTTTATTAACAGGTTAAGTGATAATTAACTATTCACCTCGCAACAGTAATCGGTAATTTGTTGATGCGTTTTAAAGAGTTCTACAGAATGTATGAAATATAATAAAGTATGTAGTAAATTTATACACAAGAGTATAGGATTCACCTGATACAGATAGATGAACAAAATATGAACCCTTGACTGACAAATTTAACGGCAAAAAAATTTGTTATCTTTCCAAAAAATAATTTTTCAAATCATAGAAACCAATTCGTGCATATATGAGATAAATACAGCGGACAAGCATACACATAAATATCACTGTGCTCATTCTAAATACAGCCTCTGTGTGGTTTTCTGTCATTTACTGCTTTGAACTTAAAGTATAAATACACTCAAGACACTTATTAATGACTGATTATATTTTCGTTTGACTGACTACTTTAACTAGTAAGCAAAAAATCTGTTTGTAATCACTATCCACTGGAATTGAAAGTCTCTCAGCCTTTCACGCTACCAGATCGTGGTCACTCATCTGTCAACAATTAATGCTCATCGTCGAATAAAAACTGTAAGTTAGTCTAACCTACACAACTAATCTGACTCTAGCATTAACACTTTCATGTAAACATTTTATTATTTTCTCAAATAATAACGATTTGGGGTGGATGTGGGCTCACCAGTTCTATGGCGGTCGGTATTCTATATAATTCCTAAACTTTGTATACTGCTCGTCCTGATAACTGTTACTAGATAACGCCCAGCGTTGATTGCGTTTATTATTGCACTACACACGGATAACAAAACCACAGGCACACGAAGTGAAAATGATATGCGAGCGCCGAAGAGCAAGCGGACAAGTGAATAGAATTACAGTGTACTAATATATGCATAGGTTGCAAGCGGTTCTCAAGCCTAAATGCTCATACAAGCGCGATTATAATAAAAGCACAATGGTACAGATAAGTTGTAGCTACACGAATGACTCAGTTTGTCAAATAAGTTAATAAAAGGGCTTCACCAAATTAAATGTAAACAAACTCAAATGTATGTGCGATACTACAAACTTGTCTGACTTTATCATTGGAAGTGTACCTTATTCTATATTCTAATAACTCTACGTTATCTTTCTCTTGTATAATATCAATTTGTCGGTAAATCATGATTGGATTATTTAATTCGGTCAATATCTTTTACTTTAATACCATTAATGGGTGATTTTCGGTTAATCATACGATCATAAATTAAAGGTCAATTTATTTTTCTTTTCAAAAACAAGCAATAAAATTTTTCTTTCAACACACCAATGAATCGAATAAGCCTAATTGTAGTGTTAAAAATCAGTGATTTTTGAAGACAAAGCTTTTGTTTGTAGTTTAAGAGGATTTTATCATTTTAAAAAGTTATTCATTCAGCCTGTGCTTTACCTACTCAAAGTATATTTGAATCATGTGATTAAATTTGTGGGATAACTTGCTTAAAATTGTAGTTCAGACTATTTTGTCACATATATGGTAACCTCATGACTAGCCCTTTTTGTGTGTTAATAAGATCAGTTCTGTGCAAATAATATTGTAATGAAAAATGCCAAACATGACGCTGATCCACATAATGACAAATAGGCATCAATCTTGGCCTAGTGAATATTACGCATGCATTTCATTTGAGCTTTTAACACTGAATTTTTTTTTAATTTACTAAACATATCACATTGAATAACAAATGAACATAGCTGAATAGTTTTTTTTTTCAAATGGAAAGTAGTTATATGAATCTATTGTTTGCTGATCCAACATACCGATTTGATTAAGCTTAAAAGATTATCCTACTCCAGTAACTCTGGATTCTTGTCAACTCAAAAAGGTCATGTCAACAATGATAAACCTTTTTTGTTGTTTTTTTTAAATAAGCACAAACAAATCGATTCAGAATCTCCTTATAAGTTTATTTTCATTCTTTATATTCGTCATAATTGTTTAATTTTCCATTAAATGTGTATCTGTATTGTTCCATTTTATCATTTTACATGTAAAATATTTCTTGATGATAACCGTCATGTTTAAGATTTTACGTTCTAATTAACAAGAATCCATTGTACTTTACATATTTAAGTCACAAAAGCCATTATTTCTGTCTGTCCTCTGACGTTTTTACTCATCTATGAAAAGTGTGATTTTTCAAACATAAAAGTTGCGTAATTAATTTAGTTTCGATTGGCACGTGAAATAAATAAATAAACACTTCATCAACATTATTTTCTTTTCATATACAATCTTAGATCGCCATACAAGTGCCGATGAAGCTACTCTGAAAGAAAATGAACGGAAGTTTAAAGAGATTGGAGAAGCCTACAACGTATTATCAGATCCTGAGAAACGTCGTCAATATGATAGTGGTGAACTCTTAGCGGATGATAGTTTTGGCCAAGGTGAATTGCATTTTTATGTAGTTAACTATTGGGTCAGGTCACTTTAAATTATATTGTCTAATAGATTAAACCGTTCTCTGTTACTTCATCTAGTCGATTTTATCTTCCGTATTTAGTCAGGATTTGTCTGCCTATTTTCTCTAAAACATTTGTAGTCATCTAAGTTAACCTATCATATTTATAAAAAAGTAGATTAAAATTTACACAGACTGCTTTGAATAAATTACACAACATCGCTGACTACTTTGCTCAACCTCGTGAAACTTCAAATTAACTGATTCACTATTAACTAAGTGATACAACTTGAAAATGATCTTTCTTATCTTGTTCTTAGGATAAAACATACTACTGTCACATTGCTGTTTGTTAATTTTTTATTTTTACCGACCCTTTACTTCTTTTCTTGTCTGCTATGTCTGATACTGAACCTCTCGCTTACGTATAACACAAGAATATGGTTAATTAGCTCACTTATCATTTTATACGTTAAATAAACTAGCAGCTTGATCTGTGGTATTCTACATTTTCAATTGAAATCACATATTTCATCTTCCTAAGTCTACCATTGATTTGGATCATCAGTCTATCAGAAACTGTCTCCACGTGGACTGTAAATAGAACCTTTCTGTCAACGTTTGTAAAAGGTTCTGTTGTAACACTGCTTAAATAATTCCCAGCTAATTCCTATTGCTTAGCGTTCTCGACCACAATACACTGGACAAGTTCCAAAGAATCAAAAAACACGGTCGAACAGGAAAAGATTATATTCCAAACAGCAAGGTTAAATGGAAATAAAAAGCCAAAGGTGATGGCTAAGGCGAAGGCAATAAAAAGATACAACGTTAGTTTATTTATAGCATTTACATGAGAAGCTTCTGGATAGAAATTCACGTGATCGACTGGATTAGACTTAGCCAATCAAAGTGCAGCTAACATTACGAGAATTTTCTACCCTGTTCTCCAAGAATCTATCAGGCGCTGATTGGATAGGAAATTAGCCAATCAGCGCGAAGCAACGTAGTCATGCTTTATTCCATCTATGTCCCACTAACAGGTTCCTTATGATATAAACCATGTCACCTGAATGCGATCATCCTAGGTTATAGTAGAATGTTCATATTACTGATGATAACTGGTATCTGCTACAAGCTACATTCAAACCTGTATGATGGCACCAGAGGAAAATTGTGATGATAGGAGCAGATTTTTGGTACACACGAAGTTCTTTAAGTCACGATATGGAGTTTACTGACATCTGATAACTATTTGATGAATGAAACATACAGCCAAAACAGGGAGAATACCAATACAGATTTTTGATAGCAGTAATACAAGTTGCGTCCTTTGTTATGGTGGACAAAATTTGCACTAAAATATAATAGTGATACAATAAGATAAAAATATACATTACTGAAAATGTATTACATGTTATAGGCAACTGCAGAAAATCAGTTTCATAAGTTAATTGCACCACTCAATTGAGACCTTAATCATATTGGTTTCAAAGTTTCATTGTATATTAGTTGAGTAATATAAAGTTTTAAGTTTTGTAAGTTATCGACTTTACTTCATTAGACTCTGTCTATTCACAAATTTATTCTTTTTCGAAACTTATCTTGTATTTTGTTTAAAAATCTGTTTTATTTGTTTTTTTTAATGTTCTCTCCAAAAGGGAATGTATCCGCTCACAATTTGTTCACTCAAGTCTTTCCTGGATTTGGAACGTCTACAGTACATGTTTATTTTGGTTGATAATTTATGCACCATTGCATGCAGTTTATGCTGGAGTAAGTCAACATCACGTGTAATAAGCCCTTCCCATCTGTTTGTGTACAAAAATTTGACAACAAAATATATTTATAGTTTACCGGATTTCTGTGTTTAGTGTTTCGTCTCTGTTTGACACATGTATGTTGAAGCCAATATGTTTAAATTTATTCTAAATCGATGATTAGCGTAATGTTGGAGATAATCAACTTGGTAAATTGGTTAATTTTTAATGTTTTTTTTCATCTATGCTGTTATTCATATCCAGATCCTTACCATTTGCTTGTACATACATATAATATTAGAAATTTTAATCTTGATGAAATAATCAATTTTAAATGAATTTCCAAACTAGTTAATGTTGATTTTTTTCGCTGTAAGAATGGTTTTCGATGTTGTGACAACGTGATTAACACAAGGTTGTCGAAATGGTTTTTATTCATTGTCTTCCTATTCTTATCATTTTTCATACTTTTGAAATTAACTCTGTAATGACAGAACAACCTTGCTTAGTTCAGGAACCTACTTCAAGTTCTAGTGGTAGAAAAAATGGTGTTTTAAGTTTTTCAACTGATCATAGCCATCTAATTGTCGTGATTTAAAATTTCTTTCATTGCTACAAATACATAAGTTATCAGTCATTTGTTTTTTGTTACGTATATGACCAAGTGAATGAAAAAAACCTTTATGAAGAGATGGGATTAGATCATTTGATTCGTTTCAGTCAGTCATATCCTAACATTTGTGTATCTGTTCAAGTTACTATACAACGTTAGCACAAAGAGATAAAATTATCTTGATAAATACCAGTAAGAAAGATAGAGTCAGGATCTAAGAAAAGTCACAGAGTGAATGCACATGCACCGTTGTGAACAATTGTAAATCGTGTCATCCTTAGTCTTTAACCATTAGCTACGATAAACACATAAACCGAAACCAGGTAGTTTATATCTACTTACATGGCTCAGTCGAATAATTAACTATTCCATGAAGTAGTACTATGTTCTGATTTAACTGCCTTTAGTCTTCCAATCTACTCCAGCAATATCGTCCGTCAAGTTAGGAGCTGGATGAGCATAATTAATACATGTTTCAATCACTTCTGCTCATTAGGGTTTGCAAACTTTCATTACAAATATCGTTTCATGAATATTTGGTTTATTGAGCTTTGACGTCGGTTGAATTTTTTCTACAAGTAACTGATAAACTACCTCATCATATCGTTGATGAGACTCAGAATGTCGGAAAATCTCTTCTTTATGCCTTCACTTTCCATCATAATGCTAATTTTAATCCCTTTTTATTAAAAACATGTACTTGGGATTTCTCTTATTATCACGATATCTGGCATATAATTCAACTCATGGACCTAATTTAATACTAACAAACCATACAGCAGATTGTCTAGCTTATTTTGGATTGTATCTCATCTGACTACCACATCCATCTTTTACAACTTTAAACACCCCCATAGCAGCCAGTGATAGTGTGTCAAATCCCTGTGTATCGATCCATCTTGCCTGAGAGAATCCTTAAAGCATCCTAAAAACTTACACTTGATAGCATTCTCCTCAAACATAGAATCATTGAGCAACCTCCATTTGCTTGGATCAACCAGTAGATTATGTTGTTTTAGTAGGTTTGTTTGACATGTCCGTAGCATAAAAATTCAGTGGATGGGTTTGTGTAAGCTCACGTTAAGCTAAATGTGCCTTTGCCGTAAATGGCGATCGATTATATGTCTGCCACCTGTTAACTGAAGACTGAATTGTGTAAGCGGTCGTTAGAATTTATTTTCCGCTGCTATTTGATTCAATGGTAACCCTATTCATGTCATCACTAGTTACTAACACCGGTCATAATATCTTATTTAGAGTACTTCGTTTCGATATTAAGCAGTTTTCAAAATGACTTTCGTTGCATTTTTCTAGAATATTTCTGGTCGAATCCTTATTCTTGTACTAAGTCGCGCTCTTTATCCTATTCTATTTCACCATTATAGTGTAGAAACATTTGTACATACTTTTTGACGTCAACTCATACCCTTCTAAACTTTACAGGACCTGTTAAAATATTATGAAAATGCGAACATTTTAGAAACTGATGATAGAACCCGAAATAGATTCTTCACAACACTGATGTGTGAATAAATTGTTTGTTAAATATGATAATAGTAATATGGTCAGCGTGTATCGTCACCGTCTAAGCAGAAAAGGAATTCCAGGGTTGTAAATGCAAAGCATTTTACTCATATACTTTGTACAATCCAAGTACTTGACATGCTTAAATTTATGCACCGGCACGGAGATCTAATACCCAACACGTTTTTGACAAGTTAGTATAAACCAATTAATGTTTTCGTTCTTCATTCTTGATGTTACAATGCGGCTCCAGACTTTTGATGTGGTTTAACTGAAGCTTTGAGTTTGGTTTCTTTATGTGTTTGACCCTGATCGTCTGATTTTATTCTTGCTTTTCCGTTGTCCGTTTGTTCTTGAACTCCGACAGACCTTGATATTAAAGGTCTATCATGAATTCGCCTTGTAAATGTATGGTAAAAATACGTTTACAGCTTCGCAATTACTTACATCGATTTCGTATTTAATTGTGTAGTTATTTTGATTTCATTTTGTCTTGGAGCACTTCTAGAGTCTGAAGAATTGTTTAGAATAGTTATTCGATAGATTTCAGAATCATGATTAAAAAGCAGAGACGCCTACGTTGAATAAATGAGTAAGTTGCTCAGATAAGGGATAAATTAAATTAATAGTACTAATAATAAATATCAATGATATAAAATGCAATGAATGTGACTCAAACATGCTTATAAATCTATACCATTTTGCCCCATAACTGCGTATATTATTAAATCAGTGTTCCATGGCCTCTTACGTATCTATTAACTCACCTCTTGAAACTTTACCGGAAGGGCTTTAGTTACATCGACTGGGTGACCTTAGTAGGTAGGATCGAATAGTAATTCTGTGCCTCTCCTGAGATCTGAAGTTCTTCCTAACCATGTTAACGAATGAAATAAAGTGGAAAAGCGAGAGCGATCATCCGTGTTCGATTACTGTCTTCACTTGGTATGTATCTGTGAATTTACAGTTTACTCACTTATAAGAGTTCTACATGATGACGACAATATTCTCAGGCACTTCACAGTCTCGATGTCTCCACAAGGTTCACTTATTCATGGTTCAGGTTGTTACATGGAGTATTGGCATATTGAATTCCGAAGGATCTGGACGTTCGTTATGCTGCGTCATAACACTTCCGAATACAAACTTTTCATATTCCAGAGTGGAGTCGGAAAAGTTTAAGATGATTTTTTCTGGTTAACGTTTTTAACTAGACTCTTTTCTAAAGAATGGAATTGTTCACCTCATATCCAACGCTGCGTCTTTACTCGGTGCTGAGAACAACGTTAATACAGGAAGTGCTTCGGATGGGGTTGAAACACATCATTAACGTGCACCACCTATGTATTCATTGGAAACTAGACTTACATGCGGTTGCGAAACGTCATCATATAACTATATATTCAGATTCTGCGCTTGAGACTGAATGTGTTACATTGATATCACTAATAAACACTGAACCTATATTCTGCTTATAGTGGCACTTATTAGTAATGATCGGTTACCAATCAGCGGATATAAATGTTTATTCAAGCCTGTATGTCTAATGACTGATCGTTCTGTTTCGGTCATCAATATTTTCATGAGAAGATTTCGATAAGCGCGATGCGTCCTAAACACAGTCTACATCCATAAATTTCACTAATAAATATGCTCTCCTAACTTGGATTTAAAGTAAAAGAAAACTTTAACTTTGTATGATAACAAAACAGAAATTTTTTGCAGAATAAAATGACACCATTGTTTTCTTTCAACTACATTAAAAGTGATTGAATACATAAACTGTGTGTCCGAAATAATGTTTGCTGTGTATGTTCTTGATCTTAGAATGTTATCTCTTATACAGAAAGCAAAACATTTAGTTGAATCGTTATACAGGTAGTTCTACATACATCTAAAGTAGTCCAACTCATGATTCATGTGTTTTGAAAGGCGAGTGTTGACAAATGAGAAATAAGTGTTTGAGACAGACGATTACGTAGGCATATAAGAAACATTAATTAGAAAAGTATAATAAATGAATAAGACAAACTGGTATATTATGCATTAATGGGTATGTTCCATGGAATATGGAAAAAGCAGTTTGTTCCAATTCACAGCAAAGTTAATTAGCTGGATGGTTTTGCGGGAGTTTCTGTGTAACCTTAACAGTACGGCTTATCACGAAGTGATATCCTCGTGAACCAAACTGTTCTAAATAGCGGTGTCGTTCCATTTGGAAAAATGTCACCACTATACACTCATGACCACATACCCAATGGAACATGAGGTGTTCAGAGGTCACGGAGGAAAAGACACTTCGGAGACCAACAACGGAGTATGGATGACATCAGATAATGATTGTAACACACTAAAAATTAATCGGAGTCGAAAATTTAGACTCTAGGATATCAACGTCTCTTTTCAAAAAATGCAAAAACTTCATTGTCCAAAGTTAGATATCTTTTGTGGTGACGTGTAAGCACTGATTAGGAATGTCTGATCAGAACAAAGGATCTGTTTGATATTCCAGTTGATGTCGTTATTTGATCGAAACTGTCTGCATATAAAATGCATTTCTAAATACTAACTAACTACAAATTGATTACTGAACCACGTATTAGAATGATTCAGATGAATGAGTATAGAATACGTAACTTTCCTTGAACCTTCAGTACCGAAATATTTATTCTGAATAACTGGAGTAATTGTTTACCAAAAAATATTCACTTGTCAGTATTGACTGATAAAATATTAAAAATACTCCTGATCATGGAACGTCTGGCTGAGATTGGTGAATGGACAATTATTCTTACAAAATCAGGCTTTTACTTCTGACTCAATATATGTACGTGGCGGTTGTACCAGATCGTATGAAGAAAGATTTGTTCATAACCTCTTGTTTCAGAGAAGTTTTCCTATTATTAATTGATTAAAATCGAGTCAAGTTTTAGAGTCAATGAAGACTGGCAGTGACTTAGTGATCATCTCTAAAGTTATCAAACGCTTATTTATGAGGTTTTGTGTTTTCTCGTCGTTGATATTCAGAAGTGAAGTTGACCTGTTAATAATAACTTCACTCCTGTTGAACAATTTGTTTGAACTCAATAGCTCAGTTGACGTTCGAAGTAATGGATACTAATCACAGATGTTAGTGTGAATATCATCACCAACTGACGTACTTATATCTTAAGAATCCCGAATATGACGAAACATCCTTCCTGAATAACTAATACTAGTCACACTCCCAAGATATAGCGGAACATCTTGCTTTGTTACAAGATATTTCACACTAAACATGGTAGACTGTTTTTGATGTACCTAACATCGACTAGAAGAAGATCATTTGTAAGTTATTACTAGCATTTCATAATAGCACAGGCATTAAGGCTCACTAGGTGAAAGTGGTTTTCTGCACTAAAGTTCACAGTGGAATGATACAATACTTGGCGTAGTTGTGTAAATATTAACTGATTCGGCAGCAAAAATAAGTGGAATGCGTTATAAATGAGACGAATGTT